CTATGGCGGTTTCGAGGAAGTACGGATTGCTGACTGCATTGACTGTTTCTTGGCGGCAGGTTGGCACTCAGCGCATCCAAGTTAAAAACTTCTATCTGTACATCGCTGCTTGGCACTTCATCGCACTAGTATACGCAGGATGCGCTGTTCCGTCGTGAGCATCGTTCGGTCACAACGGGCGATAAATCCACTTATCTCCAGGTGGGCGGTTCGTAATACTCCGCTTAGTACTTGCTCGTCAAACCCTATGTCGTCCAGGTCACCCATGGTTTCCTCCAACTGGTACTGCAATCTCATGGCCAAAAGTTTAACACGATGGACAAAAAGGAGCTGCTGGAGTAAGGCACGAACATGGTCAGCAGTTGCGCTACGTGCTGCCCTGTGCATGGATAAGGTCCGAAATGCCGTACAGCACTGATGGACGTCCTGCTGTAATTTCTGAATTCAAGCATACGATACAGGTGATCGTGCCAGCAGACACAGTTCTTCCTGAAGTTGTTGCCAAGAGACAATGCACCCACTTGCAGGGCTGCCAGTCGGTGCAAAGCTGGTGCGTTTTCAGCATATCCATGAAAAGGGGTGTCCGGATGCCTTGAAAACTGCTGTTTATGGGGTGTTTAGGACACCTGAGGAGTTTCTGAATGAAGCTTTGGGCTTGAGGCACCCCTTTATTGCCGGTGTCTGGAGATGTTGACAACATAGAAACCATAGCGAAGGTCTTGCAGCTGGTAAAATTGGGCACGATGAAGTTCAGACTTCAACAAGTGCAGAAGTATAGAGCTCTGGCATCAGAATTGGAAGGTGAAGAGAAACTTCTGCATGACAACATGCACCCTGACTTGAAGTCTGCAATGCGGCAAAAACGCATTTTGCTTTTCAAGCGTATGATGGAGGATGCGGGTGTGGTCGACGCACAGCTCTGTGAGGAGCTGACGAATGGTTTTCGATTGGTGGGTCAACTGGAGTCTTCAGGGCAGTTCCGACCGACTCAAGCCTGCAGAGCCATCTGTGGAAGAGTTGCGGCGCTCAGCAAAGTGGGCAAAGCATCCAGTGGCAGGTTCTTGCAAGCGTGTGGGTGACAACAAGGACGTTGCAAAGGCAGTTTGGGAAGAGACCGTCTCTCAAAGGGACGCTGGATTGGATCAAGGGCCCCTTTTTTCGGTCAAAGAACTGGACGAGAAATTTCCGGAAGGCTGGATACCTTCCAAGCGCTTTGGTGTGGTCAAGGAACAAAGGTTGGAGCAGTGGATGATTTTAGCGAGTTTTTGGTGAATGCAGCCTGCAGTACAGGTGAGCAGATTGTTTTGCAAGGTTTGGACGACGTTGCATCAGCAGCCAAGTGCATGTTGAGTGCGCCGGGCAAGGATGGCAACATATGGGTACCTTCCGCAGAAGGCCAACATGTTTGTGCCGGGCTGCTGGAAGCTTCATGGCGCGAGGCTGAGTTAGGCGACTTGCAAGGGCGAGCGCTAGACTTGAAAAGTGCACACAAGCAGCTGGCCAGGAGTCCTGAGGACGATTGGTGCTCAATCTTTGGTTTTGTGACAATGAAGCAGCGCGGTCAGCGATGATCCGCTCCTACTCTCCTTTGTTGGACAGTTTGAAACTGGTCAGGTGTTGTGCCTTTGAAGACGCGGCTGCACAGTCCACCAACTGGTATGCTCGAGTTCCATCAAAATCAAATCTATCGGATGCTGCTTCGAGATTAGACTTCAGCTGCTACGCACTTTTGGGATTCACAAAGGTGACGCCAAATTACGCCCACGATCTTGTCTGAAGTGGGGAGGTTGGCGTGGGGCAAGACCTATGCCATATCGAAAGCGATAGACATCCCCGCTTGGAAAAAGATCTTCGTTGTGCGTTCGTCAGCCATGTTTTGAAATTGCCAGACATGTTGTGAGCTCTTTTTATTTGGAGAGCTGTTTTTTGGCGTTTTTGCGTATATATGTATATACTCGATTAAGTTTGATATATACATATTTAATTACTCTTCTTTACCTGGTAAAGTTAGTTTGTGCGTAGTAGTGTAGGTGTGAGGAGTGAACGTTTTGCAATAAGTCTGGTTTCACTTGTGATACCTCTTTATTGCGTTGCGTTCTAAGCGTAGGCGTACGCGTCTCCTCTTTAACACCCTGCTCTATACTCCTACGCGCGCGTGTTTAGTCACGTTGCTTTTGGGTTTTCAAAGCTTGGGTACTCACACTGGTGAGTTGCTTTGAAACCAAATCTGTGCAAACCTGTTTAACAAAACCTGTTCTCTGCTGAGGTAGAGGTGTACCAGGTACAGGTTGTTGTTTACTTGCAGCTGGTTTTACTGAACAAGGGTTTAGTGAAACGACTGTTTAATACTCCCACGTCGGTTACGAAATTGTCACAATGGTGGCCATTTTGTTTTAAGGGTGGGTGGGTGGGACCGTCCTGCCCCACGCGCGATGGTTTGACCCCCCCTCCGCACCCCCACCGGCGTGGGGGCAAGACCTATGCCATATCGAAAGCGATAGACATCCCCGCTTGGAAAAAGATCTTCGTTGTGCGTTCGTCAGCCATGTTTTGAAATTGCCAGACATGTTGTGAGCTCTTTTTATTTGGAGAGCTGTTTTTGGCGTTTTTGCGTATATATGTATACTCGATTAAGTTTGATATATACATATTTAATTACTCTTCTTTACCTGGTAAAGTTAGTTTGTGGGTAGTAGTGTAGGTGTGAGGAGTGAACGTTTTGCAATAAGGGGGTGAAATGTACTTGTGCCACCGTCACTAGTGTTTGTTGGTGTTGGGTTCCGGCCCCTTTTTGGTCTATTGCTTCTTGGTGCGGGACGGGGAGCCACAGTTCTGGCTGGGGGAACTGTGTTTCCTCGCTCCCCCCTGCTTTGTTGCTGTTGCTTTCATTTTGAAATGCTGGTGGCACCACCTAATTGTGTTTTGACACCCTGGGGGTTGATTTTATCTCAACATGGCGTTTCACACCTGGAGGTCCCACCTCTCTTGTACAATATTTTCATATTAATGCTTTCTTTACAAAGGACCGTGCCACAGAGCATTAACGGCCACGCCAGAGGAAAAAAAAAAGTCAACATGACAGTGATTGCAACATGACCGTGTTGCATCACAACAGTGTTTCAGATGTCATGACTGAGTTGTGCATGCTTAACAGGTTCATGTAGATGCACAGTTGCAACGTGTGCCGTTGCAAGGCAGAATTTGAAGCTGTTTGTTCTCGAGTGTTTTTGGCATTTCAACTTTTGCTGCGTTCGGGAATTCGATCCGAATTTTATTCGTGAAATCATTTTTTGCCTCAAGCAAGAATGGCTTGAACAAAGACAGAAACAGCTGGCCCTCTCAACGATTTCTTGCGTTCACTGTTTCCATTCTTTCGCGTCGCCCCTGATTCTTTGACCAAAAGTTCTTCTATTCACTTTTTTCATCTTCTACACGTCCGCTTTCTGGATGTCTGTTTCTATCTTTCATCTTTGGTGTGTCCATGCGCCAAAAGATCGCTTGTCTGTCCTTTTCTATGTTGATTTTTTCCGTGTATTTACGCCTTCACCTTCTTTTTGCGTTCATTGTTTTCATTTTGTAAACTTACCTTTCCTTGCCCCTTAAACAACTTCTTGCATTCCCAGTCCCGATGTTTCCAATCCCACCTCTGGATCTGATCCAATTTTTTTGCTACTTATACTTCTTTTGCACCCTCCACACTTCCTCTCTCTGGGTTTTTGTTCAGCCCTGATAATGATAATGAATACTTGCGTTCATTGCCTTCATTCCCGTGTCTGGACTTGACCCTTTTTTTAATATTCATTCTTTCCGCCCTCCACACTTCTTCTTTGGATCTCTTTTTTTATTTTTCATTTTTCTTTCGTTATTTGTCCGTGTGCCAAGAGATTGCTTGTACGTTTGGAAATCATGATTTAAATTTTCCTTCGGTTCGGGACCTTTCAGCACCCTCGTCAGTCATTTTCTGTTTTCTGGAAGTTTTCCACCATTTGGACCCTGCAACCATTTTTTTTTTCCGAAACTGTGTGTCCACACGGACGGGGTCTTACCGTGAGGGTAAAACCCGGGTTTTCCTTCAGGGTTCGCGTTCTGGCTTGCAGCTCTTGATTGCATTAGTTCGCGCAAAAAAATCGTTTGTGAGATGTCCACCGCGCAGGCCCGCGCAAAATGCATGTCTTGCTTTGCCTTTTTTTGAAGGTCTACTTTCACCGGTGCACGGTGCGTGTTTTGCGAACTATGTGCGTTTTTTGCGGCAGGCGTGAATTGTTCGGGACGTTTTGAAGTTTGGAAGTCTGGAACTGCGTCTTTGCGTGACGGGCGCAGGACTTTCGACACGTTTTCGTCCGCGTGGCAGGCGTGGTATTTCGTGCAGGTGGCTCAAACGTTGGGCAAGCGTGGGTCGAAATGAGAGGTGGTTTTGGAGGTCATTTGTCGTGGCACGTGGAATGTTTGGTGACTTTGAGCGATGTTTTGAAAGGCCCCAAAGTCTCGTTTTGTGAAATTGTTTTCATTTTTTGATTCGGTGCATGATGATGATTTCGCGTGGCAGGCGCAATAGTACAAAGTACAAACCCGAATGAACTCCAATTTAAACCTTGAACATCTTTGAAGCAAACGCGTGTTTCCATTTGGTGTTTTGCAAATTTGCCATGGAATGGTTGCTTTGAAAATTTTAGTTGGGACTCCCAAACGAGCAAATGTTTTTTGTGTTCAACTGTTTTGCTTGGGAGTGGATAAACAAAACATTGCTTGCATGGTATTGAGTTCATACTGCTGCATGGGGTCGGCATGCAGTCATTTTCGATCATAAAATCACAGTAAGGTGTGCGTAGCTGTTAGCACATATTGCAAAATAGTTTCTGGGAAAAAAACAATTATATAGCTGGAATTTGTGAGTTGCTACAAATGAAAGTGTGCCTTTGAGAGTTGATACTCCCAAAATTCACCGACGTTGATAATTTCGGATACGTAGACATCCAACGGTTTTGTCCAGACATTTTTAATCCTTATCTGCATTGATTTTGTGTGCATCCGGCATTTTTCGAGCCATGAAGAAGAAAAACACATCCAAATCGCCAGTGGTCAAGGTTCCTTGGTTAGAATCTGAATTTGACACGGAAAATGGTACACTTGTGCACCCCAACCTGTCATTGACTGAATGTATATGTGCCCAGTGCACAAAACGTCTCCGTGCTAACCGGTCTGAACAACCAATTTCACCGTGAACCTGGCCATTTGAGTCATTTGAAACATTGAATCTTGATTGGGTCTTGCATGTTTTTGATGCACAACAATTTTTTATTTTTGTTTGATTTGGGATTTTGTCACGGATTCCCCAATGAATTTTGTACATGCTTCTGAATTTCGGTTTTTTATCAATTTCAATATTCAATGTCAATATTCATAAAAAAATGTCACGTTGTTGAAACGCCTCACGTTGAAAACCAGTTGCCAGCTTGACTAAGCAAGTGGCCAGTCATGATTCATCATTCTCCATTTACCGGTTTTGGGAATAACAATTTGGTCCAATTTGTATAACCGTTCTTTTGAAAACCGACATTGAAGACATCCCTAAACCAAATTTTGGTTTAATATATCCCATTATATCGGCTATTCCCATTCTATTCCCAGTAAAATCCCCATATTATATAATTGGTTCAATCCCCATAATTTGCTGAGTTTCACCATCCCAGTGTACTCAGATTTGACCCATCCCCCATAGGCAGGAGTGTTAGCTGGCAAAGTGAAGGGCCTCCTTCCCGAGGTCAGGGGATTCTGGCGATTCCGGGAACCCCAGGATTCCGCGAAAACATGTAGTATATAATATATATATGGTTACATTTACATTTACATTTACATTTATATTTATATTTATATTTATATTTGTAGATATGCATGCGTATATATTAGTTGGGTAAAATTGAGAATCATTGGGTCATGCTAAAAAATTCAACTACATTTTAGTTTAGATTACTGTAGATAACATTGAATATTCCCACCTAGGTCGGTCGTGTTTTTTATCGATTTTTTTTTTATCGTCCTGTCTCCCCTGGATTTGGTGACACCCCTTGGAACAATTGGTCGTTCACATGGGAAATACCAACACCAGGTCCCAAAATTTGGAACCCTAACATTCCCCTGTGTTCTCCCAAATTTCGGGCATGAAAATTGCAATCAAATGGGATATGATATACCAATTTTCCCATGTAACATTTGGTATCCCACATTTTGAGGCACAGTTGAATCCGCTCATCACAAGGGTACACCATTTCCAGTTTCACATGTCTTTGCAAGACGCAGGCCCTGGATTTGAGTTCCTTAAAGGCGGAGGAACCGCGGAGGGTGAAAATTGATGGACGTAAGCAGGTGGATACTCCGATCACATCTACCACCACCAGTTACAGAGTCACTACATGGTTTCAGAATGTCTCACCTCTGCATGTTTCATTCTTGAAAGGAATGCAGTTTACTTCTTGTGGTGTTCAGTGGTCGCTGTTCAGAAAGTTGGCGCAAGGGAATATCTGAAAGGCGCCGCAAATTGTTGGAGGGTGAAAACTCAAAAACACAGCAGTCTCCTGTCAATATTTTGATTATTTTGCCTGATTTGAAGTCAGCTGCTTGTTGCTGTCCTTTTTTTTTCTCCGAAAATATTTCAAGCCTCAGGGTTATGAAAGGTATGCTCCCATGGTCGGGCCATAACTCCAACTTATGGTTTTTTATAATCCCAGGATGTCTCCCCAGAGATGGACACCAGGAGGATGACGATGGGCCGCCAGAAGAGCTGACGACTGAGACAGCAGCTGCGGTGGAGGAGGTGGATGAACTGCTGGGGGAAGTGTGGCAGATGCCGTAATCATAAGGATAATGGTCGTTGATGATGATTCATATAGTGATGGCCATTGGTGATTATGAGGGAAAAGAATCATTGTCAAAATATTGGTATGAATAAATCGTAGAATGATGCTGATAATAACTGATCCAATCAATAATACTATCAAGTATCCAATTCTGGATTGGATTGAAATTTTTGATTTGCGTAAGGATGGTAATTTTAATTGCGACGATCAACATAAAAACATTTGCTAGCGAATGATAGTTTAATTTAATGATAATAGTGATGCTCGCTGTTTTTTTTAATTTTAATTTTTAGCAATGATTTAATATTGATATTGGTGATGCATGATAAACGTATATAGTCTAATATAGTCACAAAGACAATGCTAATCCGAATGACCATAATGTACTGTATTCAATACAACAAAATAACACAAACTGGGACCCCAGCACAATCCACTACATGCCATCAGGTTTAGGGGAGACATTTTGTTAGGAAGGAAGGATTACTGGATGTCTCCACTGGTCCTACAAGTCTCAAGGGATATGGAACATGATCGAAAATGATGGAACATTCACATGATGAAGAGTGATGAAATATGATGGAAAATGATGGACACTCAATTCTTGGCATCACTTTCCCAATCATTTGGGGACAGCTGGAAGTGACCAGGATGGAAGACAACTGGGATTGCTGGGCAACTGGGTAACCTCAATCTCCAAACCGACAGAAGCAAAAACAGTTGGTTTTTAGAGTAGGATTCAGAAGCAACATGAAGCAACAGATTGGACTCATAATGTACACCAGAATTATTGGCTCAGTTACGTGTACTGAATCGGTGCCCAATAAGGTACTGAATCTATTGGGTTTGTCTTGACCTTGGGTAGCCTAATATCCAATGGTTTATATAGTTTATTCTCATATTTCCCAATGATGAGAGTTTAGGCTTATCTCATCGTATCTCTAAATTGTTGATTGACATTGGTAGCCAATATTCTCCTATCTCTAAACATTATGATTTTGGAGGTCCTTCATTGGTAGCCAATATCCCACACGTAACGACGTTGGCACCGCCCATGCCGTTGTTACGCTACAGGTGGATGCTTTGCTGGTGACCAAGGCAGCAACTTGTAGGAATATTTTTGTATCTTAATCAATAGTAACTTATAGTTAATCCTTATAGTATAATCAATAGTAACTTATCCCATGATATTTGAGGATATCAATCTTTAATGAATAGTATAAGTTAGTGTAACTTATCCCATGATCTCCCCAACTCCGCTGGTTCATCATTTTCTTCCCTTAATGGCCAAAACACGGTCAATTTTCTGGGAGTTTTTTTGACCTTATTTTCAGACACACACACACATTGAGTTTCAATACTCACTTATGAATATGATTTACTATTCTTGGGGGTAACGTTTTGAGTCAATAGTCAGTGTCAATCAATCCTAACTATCGGGTGGTTAGTAGGGAGCGATTAGGAGCGGTATCGGTATTCCCTATGAAACGGGGAGCCAGTAGGAGCTACTAAGTTTCCCAACCATGTGGTGGTCTATGGGTTTCTAAACGGAGGAAAGACTTGGCAGCACGACCCATCATGGCAATTTTTCTTGGACTACAGGGATGGATTAGGCCCAGCTGAAAACTAGAAACATGTGGGTTCTTAGTGACAGTGCCGCAGGCTGATTTCTGATATTTCTGGCTGGTGGGAAGTTTCATCCCTGACACTTGAACATATTGTCATTTCTTGTTTTTTTGGGATGGTCACATCTTGGGTTGGGATGTTTGACTATGGCAACTTTCAGGAGAAGGTCAAGAAGGCGAAGCCCAAGAAAGGCCCACCAACAAGCACAGTTGACCTATTTGCGAGTGATCCTTGTGGTTTTAAAGGGGTTTGTGCATAAAAACAACTCCCACTTGGCAAAGGGTCATTCGCTCCCAATCATGGAACCAATAGATGACTTTCGCACCTGGTTCTGTGCTTCCTCTGAAAAGTGTGAGGTGATGCAAAGCCTAAAAGCAAAGCTGTGAAATACCTCTGGGAAGAGCCTGAGAATCAGGACATGGATGACATGGTACCAAGTTGGGGATCTTCAATGCATTGCTCCCCAAAATGATGTACGCTTGCTGAGTGTTGAACTCTAAGGTTTTTCAGGGTATCTTGAAGCATCGCCTGGTTCTACGATCGGAATTCCTCTGACCAATCCGCTAGAACCAATCGAACAGCGAAGTCTTGGAAGCTGCCCATTTGTGAATTGATAGTAAAAAATAGTAAACATATCCCTGGAATTCCCTGGACTATTACCATGTGGGGGTTTCAAAACCCCAGGGACCTGCTAATTCCGGTTGGGTTTTGGATGTGCAGACACGCAAAAACTGAGTAAGTAGAGTGGAAAAAACCATCAAACACCAATATTTTCAGTTTCTAAAGCCTCCAGTGGGCGCTTCATTGGGTATCACTTACGTTTTTGGCTTCATCACGTGAGCAGGCAAAAACAAACACTGAGATGCTTTACCTAGGATTAGCTGTTCAACTGGTTGGAACATGGATGAACAAATATCATCCAAGATATTAAGGGCGGAGTTGAAAACTTGCTACCGACTTCCCCAAAACTGGGGCATCTGGGGCCAAGAGCACAGGACCCCATGCACAGCTGCGGCCGCCGATGTATGGGTTTGTGCCCATCCAGCTGTAGATTAACATACGTCATTTATTGTCAGAAGCTAGCCTGGCTTTCTTAACCAACTCATCTAGGTGAATCCAATTTCATATCCCATGAAATATCCCCATGAAATTTCCCCATGAATTCCAGTGATGTCCCTTTTTTGTGGTTGCCAAGTTTTGGTAGGAAAAAAAACATCACACTTTGTGGCATTTTGTGGAATTTACCACTAAATGTGATTTTACCAAGTAAGAAATGTTGAAATCCCCATTTTGTGTAGTACGAAATCACTGTTGAAGTAGGATTTTACCAACTTCGATTTTGGCCAAGGGATAGCCATGCCAGCCATGCTGCTGGAGCCAGGAGCTGCTGGAGCTCTTGCGCCAGGAGACAGAGACGAAACGCCAGGCCAAAGCAACCCGAGCCAGGCGCTCTGTGGGTCGAAACTCTGTGGGAATTGTAGGGGATATAGGATTGATATAGGTAAATGATGGTAAATCATGGGATCTTAATGAGATTATAATGGGATGATGATGGGACATATTGAGATATGGGAATCCTCCAGCCATAGTTCGACGATTTCCCGAGCTAGAACCCTCCATTTGCTTCGGGGAGTTCCGATTGCTACGTTGGATTACCGGAGGGTATATCCTGAAATACTTTTCACTATACTTTTGGTTGAGTTATACTATACTGAGATTTCATGGACTATTAGTGGGTGTACCACTTTACGAAGCACCTGACAGGGATATGAATGGGATCTCATTTGTAATCCCATCAATGGGGATACTTTCCAAAGCTTGCGACTCATCTTGGCAGTCGCCCGATGATTGCATTTGCTAAAAAGGAGCATAGATAGGTTCGAATTCATGGACTATCAGAATGTAGACATACACTTCCAAAGCACATCCCCTTACATACTATCTTGGTCCACCTACACTTATACATCAGCAAGACATGAGGTATTTCCCAAAAGCATCGAGAAAATACATATATCGCATGGAAGTCTAAGGGTTTGTAGCGGATTCCAGTCTTTTGGATGAGGGATTTGGGTATGTTCAAAACAGGGGATATGCCTCACCTTCTGATACCTGGCAAAGGAAACTCCCCATCCAGAGCTGATTTATTTCCCATTGCCATCTTTGACTTTCAGAGGGCAAATCGTGCCCCATACCCATACCCAGCTTGCGGCTCACAGGGTGGAGAAGGACGGCGTAGTGCTAATAAAACAGGGTGCTGATGAGGACCGGATGCTCTTGGTCGGGGCGAATTGAAACACCTGACAAGGATCTCACCAGCAATGATGGATTCTGTACGCATGTCCTAAGGTGCTAAGGCCGCGGACACCTGAAGACCCACCCTGTGACACTTCATTTTTATTTCCGTGGGGGAAAATCCAGGGCCGTTCCAACCAGGGTTTGCAGATATCCATACAGTATACATCATGCATCTCAACATTTTAAGCCTAAATAACCCAGATCAACATGTCTTTTCAAACAAAGGTCCTGAGGAAGCTATGTGTCCAGCAGGACGATTTGGAGGCCTCAAATTTCCTCAAAGAGGAGCCTGGGCGGTGGTTCAAATATCCACTGAGATGGGTGTAAGCACCATGCCTATCTGCCATTTGTGGTCTCAAACTGGGATGGTACCCATCAACTCACTGCTGGGCACAGTGCAGGGCTGAGCCTGAGCTATGTGGTTTGAATGTTACTGTGATTCCCAGCTGATCAAATATTGCCCGTGTAGCAAGGTTTGATGTGGTAGAGCCAATTCTAACCCAATGATGTTGACGAAGGTTTGTCCACCAGGTTCATAGTGATGCCCAAAAAGACTAATTCTTTAAGCAGTTTCTTTTGAGTTTTCCATTTTCTTTTGGGTTGCCCAAAAAAGAAAACACATTCCCTCCGGGTCCCTCCTTGAAAATCCACCTCCGGGGCTATCGGAGGAGCTTTTCTCTCGTCGAAAACGGAAGCGCAGCGTCCGAGATCGCTTTGATCGGAACGTCTTGTCAGCCTTCAGCCACTTGGACGAAGATTTCTCGGTAACACGGAGATCGAAACAGCAACCATGAGGATATTCTGATATATTATACCAACAGAAATATGAAAGATTGGCCTTTGATGCCCAAAGACAAGAGAGGATTGATTTCCTCTACCACCAGTTGGAAATGTTGTTCATTTTCTTGATCTCCAACTTGACATTTGACATCTCCACTGAGTGCCTTTGTACACGATAGAAGTGGTGCGGCTTGATCAAAGGATTCTGACTTGGAGCATCACTTGCAATACCCTCTGGTAATCAAACATGGTACTGAAGAAGCTCCATATCCACTTATAGACGCTTAAAAGACTTAAAACCCAACAAGATTAGTTGTTTTTGAATTGCCAGGGTAGGTTGCCATAGGCAACATAGGGGCATAGCAAAAATATTGCCATTCAGCGGTAGTTCAATCCATCTATAAACCCTTTTTCTGTGGCTTGTTTCCCTAGTGCTTGTTAGGCTACGGGTCAAAGTATTGGAGCAACATGCGTCTCCTCCGCTGCCACTGCGCCAGCCTGCTTCCCTGGCCATTTTTAGGAGTAAGGATATACGACCTTCTGAATACGGTAAACCGGTGTAGGCAATAATAATTCTCATTATATATATATATATATATGTTGTTTTGGGTATGGGCTATAGTATGCCACACTACTTAGCTACATTCTAGATACATACTACCTGCATACTATTTTCTGTACTGCCTACCTCTTGCTCTTGCTAGCAATTTACTAGCCAAGCACTATCTGAAACATTGCGTGCGACCTATATACATACTTTCTACGAACTGCCTACTGTAGGTATCTTGTTTGCTACTGTTGACCGAAATGCTACTCATGTGCCGTCCAAATATCAGCGGCGCAGTGCGGCGCAGCAAATTATATACAGCCAGCCTATTACCTATATGCCAGCTAGACACTAGTTTATTCTAGTTTGTAGTGCCGTACATACACTGCCTCCTAGGCAAACTCTTGACATGTACTATCTTTTGCGCTGCCTACGACCTATATACTGATGTCCCAACGATCTAATTGCCTCGTTGATCAACCCATCACCATTTTGTGTCAAGTTTTAAGGCACCGACCTCAGGATTGACAGCATTGTTTGGTGATATGGCCGATATATCCTGATGTTTTTTTTGCTCAATTCCTAGTGTTTCTTGCTGAAAAAAGACTGTGTTTGTTGCTTCGTCCTCTTTTTTCTTGGCACATCCCCCAAGACATCCGCCACGCCTCCGAGGCCGGGCGCGACCTTTGCATGTCGTCAACCCGCGGAAAAAAACGCGACAGGCTGCGACTGCGCTGGGCAAGTGACCCTGGTGCAGAGCGCAGCGCCTCTCGCGGAAAAGGTGCTGATCTGCAGGTGGGATGGAGGGCCTACCATGGTTTAATATGGTTTAACGGTTTAACATGGTTTAACCAAAATTTGGGGCTGAAAAAATTGATTGCTTGTTGGTTTCAGAATTTAATCCCTGTGTGCAAGTTTCGTCGAGATATTTTTTTGCTGCAATACCCTTTGGATCCCTTTGGCAATTTTTAAATATTCAACAGTTTGCTATGAAAAATGGTCATTTATTTCTGTAGTCCCAACCTGCTGCTGACCTGCAATTTCTAGGCTCCAGGCTCTAGTGCGAAGTTGTTTTCAAGTAGTCTCGGCAGTTGGGAGGTGGCGAAGCAGAATTCCTGATGAGTTTCGGAGTTGCATCAATGTATATCCCCCTTGATTTGTAGTTGAATCAGTTTTTTTTGGGCCAATCGAAGGCAGCTGTATGAGGGACTATTTGGTTTTGGGTCATTCACTGCTCTGGACGCAGGTTGAGTTTTTTGTTTCAGATTCCGGGTGAAGATCAATGGGAATTTCAGGATCCTAAAATGGAGGTATTGTACCATATAAGGGCATATTTTCTAGGGATATCCCCTTACATAGGCCTTATATATGGTAGGTACCTCCAATTTAGGTTCCTGAAATGGCCATTGAGAAGATGAGCCAGTGCATGGAGAAGGTCAATCACGGAGCAATAAAAGCTTTGTATGGCCAACCAATTGAGACGTTTCCCCAAACGGCGATGTTATCCACAGCTTTCCCGGAGCTTCGGCTTCAGATTCTGATTCGGCACCAAATACCTTGCAAATAGGTGCCAAATTGAAAACTATTTTCTGGATAGTACTTCTATAGTGAAGTAATAGATATATCTGGATATTACTATTTGGATCATCATCCCAGATTTTTTCTGGGTATTACTAAAATTTACTATGTGTTCGGCGGTTATTTGGGATGATCCCCACTTGACCAACTCAGGCAGCTGAGGCGAGAGCGTGTGGCCTTATCGGCGATGGGGTTGTGACTGGGGACGGCGGATGAACATCTGTGGACTTAAAGATTTTACCAGATTTTACCAGCAATTCTGGGATGAAAAGCAAGATTTGCTAGGCTTTTGACTTCAAGGCATTTCAAGGCCACCTCAGAACCGCTTTCTGTCAATTCAAAGAGATCGGGGACCGCATCCGTGGCAGTTTTGGCTTCCCAGACTCGCCGGGCCGGGTTTGCTGCCGCCATGTGGGGCTTCATACGGGTGCTTCATGGGCTGTTGCCGCTAGCAGTTCAGTCCTGGTGGTGTGAGACCAGTGCTCTCACCGGTTGCCGCGGTCACCCAAGGCACTTTGTCTTGGAGACAGCAAAAGGTGAGGTGGACAAGTTCAAGGCCCATTCCATTGCACCGTTTCTCTGGGTGGGTTGTGTATTGGTCAAGCAGAGATGTCACGATCCAGTCTCCAAGAAGTATGAGTAATATAGACAACAGGACCATGCGAGACTTGTGCTGAAACTTTACATGGGTGGCCGCACTGCCGCCTGCTACCCTCCGACTATCTATTGAACATCCAGCATTGATCAGAGTGCATTGCCATTGCCACACCACATCATCCTAATCATCACCTCTTCACTTTTCACAACATCACAGCATCCTGACATCACCTCTTCAGAACGTCACCTCACCCTAACACCGCTTCATCTGAACACCACATCCTAATTTCATTTCTTGACAACATCGCTTCGTCCTAACATCAGTCCACCACATGACCTTTGTACAACATACTTTCATAACAGCTTCACTTCTTGTGAGGCAGCTACTCTGAACACATTGGCATGCTTGCTCAAGACTGCGTTTGCTTGTGTAGCTTTTCGGTTGTGCGGCAGGCGTGGGGACTGTCTGGAAGGAAGTGCGCGAAACACGACGTGTTTCTTCATACTTTGGTGCTTTAAATGGTCGTGACAGTAGGTCTGTCGAGACGGCGGGGGCGAACATGGTCGCATCATGCTAACATCATGTTTGAATGGGCGGGTTGCCTGCGCGTTGGAGCTGGGTCTCGGATGGCTTTCAAAGTCCAAAGATATGCTTGTGTGCTGGCGCTTAATTCACTTTGCTTTGCGTGGCAGGTGTGGCTGCATCAAGGTGTGGCACTGCGCTGGGGCAGGAGTTATGCCCTTTATTCCCAGGGGCCCTGCAGTAACGTTGCCAACGAGGGCTTGCTTTCCTGTGTCGGTGATGCCAACCTTTTGCAATCAGATGCGGTGCTCAAAGAATACTTGGCATTCGACTCGATGCGCCGCGCTTGTGGCGTGACAAACCATGTGTTGTACACTGCAGTGCAGTAAACTGTCTTAAACACGAGCATGTGCAGAGATTGCGTGGAACAAACACGAACTCCATCATTGGGCACGACTTGTTACTGCAAGCCTTCCAAAGCACTGTTGTGCAACAGTGCTGTGTAGTCACTGAGCGACGCAGTACTTCAGTTCCAGGTTTCCAGGGCCTTCTGTGCCAGCATTCAATGATTTCAATGTGCTTTTGTGATGCCCTTCATGACTGTGACGCATCCGTGTTTTTGGGACGGGACGAGGAGTGGCTTGCCTTGTTTGAGGTTTGGCAGAGGGTCTATCCGGATAGAAACATGGGCCACTGCATGGCTGAAGCCTTGGAACGTGTCTTGCCGGGCCGTGCTGCGGCGAAATAGTCCGCTGTGTCTGGCGTGGAAGGCATCTCATTGTTGCAGAAGGCGTGTGCTGGTGCTTTGTGCCTCACATATATCCTCACATAATTCTTCGCGGCGTCACGTCTTCATAACACCATTTCATCACAACATCAACACACCGCTCCAAAAACTCACCATGTATGAACATCTCCATTACGGCGTGTATGAGCATGAGACTGTACTTCGCCAGGCCTTTGAGAAATTGCCCATTTCCTGGGTGGATCAGCATGTGTTCGTTGACTGGGACGGGGATGATGACCTTGATGTCATCAAGGTGAACGTGAAAGGCAGGACATGCGGCAAAACCACAACAAAACCATGTGAAAATGGTGGGTTTTCCTCTGATTAGTTGATGTGCCCGGAGAAGATCTCAGTAGATGCAGCAACGTTCAAAACTTGAGGCATGCTGGCACGGATCAAAATCAGACATATCAGGTTAAAACATGATTCCAGGCTGAAGTTGGCCAAACCAACCACCTTGGCAGGCCTGGACTTGTTTGAGCAAGGAGATCCAGGCTATTTTGTGAAGAAAGAACCCAGCCCTTTCAAAGACATGAAGGATTTTTTTTTTGCGTGTTTGCCCGAAGTTCTTGACATCAACGGCGATGGCAAACTGGATATGCTTCTGGCAGATAAAACGGGTGTGAGGTACTATGAGAACAACATTGGACTTCAAGAAAAAACTGGGAAGGACAGAGGTTGGTAAATGTCGAATGTTGGAAGACGTCACTTTCGGACGTTTGTTGGGGGTTGATGTTCATTGAAGAGACAGCGCCTTGAAGGAGAACCCCTTCCTGCGCATCAGTGGCGTTCGTGGCTGCGGGCACTTGAGCGTGGCCGACTGGGACCAGGATGGCCGATTGGATCTTCTGATGGCCGACTTGGCACACCCCATGATTCATTTCCGCCAGGATTCGGAGGGCCAGTTCCGGCTGGTGGATGACAGCCCTTTGCTACGTGTAACGGCAAATCGCACGCTCTTCCGGCGGCCTCTGATGGTTGACTGGAACAAGGATGGAAGAATGGATTTGATCCTGGTCGAGCAGCCGTTCAGGCCCTGAAAGTGTGGGCATTCTGGAACCATTGAAATGGGCATGGTTTTAACCTTGGAATGTACAGAGTACACACGTGTGTGATGTGTATGCGGTGTGTTGTCTGGTCTTGTATTGTCGTTTGTCATTGTTATTTGTCATTGTCTTTGTCACTGTCATCATTGTCACTGTCATCGCCGTTGAAATTGCAACTGTGATGGTAATTATGTTTTGCTCTTTGTAGTGTATTGTGTTGGGTTGCGTTGCGTTGTGTGGGATTGTGTGGCGTTGTATATTGTTGTGTCGTGTCGTGTCTTGTCACGTAGTTTTGTAATGGTTTGTAATGTGGTGTAAAGTAATGTATATACATGTATACTGTATATACTGCAATCTAATGTAGTAGTGTAATTACTACAATTTTGTGTTGTGTTCTTTTTTACTTTCTGTTGCATTGTGTTTTTGCTCTGTGATGTAATGTGATGTGATGTGACCTGACGTAATGTAATGCATCTGCATGCAATGTGAAAATCATGTAATGAATGTAATGCATGTGCTGTATGTCAGCGTATTTCGTATGATAGGTATGTTTGCAGAAAAAGGTATGCAAGTATATGCAAGCAATGTATGTAATGTATGTAATGTATGGCATGTAGTGTACGCTTTTTAAACTTTGTGAAAGTTGTGTACTGTATGCATGTCACGCATGTAATGCGTGTCATACATGTTGCAAGATGTGTATGTGATGAATTATAATATGTAATGTATGTAGTTCATGCAATGCATGCATGCAGGCATTTAGGGCATGTTCTGTGTGCTCTGTTGGTTGCGTAGGTTGTGTATGTAATGTATGTTTTGTATGTCATGCATGTCAGGTTTGTTGTGTATGTAATCTGTAAAATGTACTTATGGCTGCAATGCGTGTACTGTATATACATCTTATGTATGTTGTGCATGCTCTGCGTGTTGTGTCTTGTATAAATGCTGTCTTCGGTGTTTCTGGCATGGTATGATATTGCATGGCATGGCATGGCATGCAATGGAATGGCATGTCATATACACATTGACATATTGTATCATATATATATAGGTTTTCTCCTTTTTCTCCACCCTCGAAAGTGCAAGGACCAACTTGTTTGGTTCCAGGTAAAAAAAAAAAACAGTTTGGGGAAACTTTATGTCCCAAATTTCATTTCTTGTATCCATGTGGCAAGCCGCTAGCAGAGTATACTGTAGATGGACAAGTCAGTCTCCACGCTTTCCGAAAAGGATTCCTTTGAGTCAGTATCCGGGAAAATCTGCAAACATAGGCCAGTGTCCATAAGAAAGTTCTTGAACCCAGGAACCCATTTTGAGGTGGGGTCTCTGGTCAGGCGAGGAATTCTGGCCAGCATGCTAGCCAAACATGGAGTTGCCCCTGCGCCGGATGAATCCACATGTGAACCGCTCATCTTTCTTCAGGACGAGGCGGGGAGCTTCTATGAGCCTGGCTGGTGGTTTTCAGCAAGGTTTTGGGAGTCGCCAGATATACAAATGATTTTCTTCTTACTTGTAGTACTTGTAGTACGTTTAAGCTATCTGAAATCATGTTTCAGGCAGGTGTCCATGTCGTAGTGTCGTGGTCAAAGAAGCACTCACGTCATAATTCCTGACGATATTTTTCGAAACATTGCTTCAAGTGTTGCTTCCATATTTGCAAAATGAATGCAATGTGATGTGGATGACTCGCAATGCCGGGGCTGTGTCAGGACAGGACAGTCATGCGCATCTTCAGCATGGCACCAGAGCATCTTACATGAAACGTTTGTGCGCACTACCCCACCCCAGTCCCCGTTTACGGTAGCATGTGCCCATCTTCAGTGCCACACCAACGATAGTGACAGTGTTTTTTACAAGAACAGTATTGCAACCCAGCACACCCCACCCAGGTTTAGAATAGCACGACAAGCATCCACCCCGACCACCAGCCCACCCCATTCCAAGAATAAAACATTTCGGATTTGTCTGCGCGTGGTGTGATTTTAAGTGCGGATGGTTTAAACGTATTTTAAGTGCCTAGACATACGGTCTAAAAATTGGCTACAGCTGTATGGCCATGGCTATGGCCACGTGCCTTCTGATTTGCTGAATCCTTTCGGCTTAGGAAAGCACTGCGCCCAAGGGCGTCCTGCAGAACACGGCTTGCAAGTACGGTGCCATCTCTTTGGTGGATGTGGATGGAGACGAGGACTCCCCATGATTTCCTTGCTTTGGGTGTGTTCAACAATTTGCTAGATTCACGAGAAGTATCACTTTGAAAAACATGTTTGAATGACCAGAAAGCGGTGTTTATGAAGGAATTGGCATAGGAGCCTTGAAGGACATGGATGTCATTCTGCTTTCTGCCTCCCTGCTGGGAAAACGCACCCTCGAAGTATACGAGCACCTGGAAGACCATTCCCTAGCTATTCCAAGGCACGAACAGGCCACTTCTTTCCCACTGAGCCAGATCAAAATCAGCACTAAGAGTGACTTTGGCAACTTGGGGCTTCAGATATATCGTCCTTTTTTGGCAGATTGGGATTTGGATGCTGGTTCGAAAGACTTCAACCCTTTTTTCGGCATTTCCAGTTCAAACCAGGTGCGTTTGTGTTTTCAATGACCCTTTTTGTTGGTGGTGCAATGTGAGATGTTTTTTAGGCCTGCATATATATACTGATTGGTGGTTTGGATTTTTTTTTATTTTTCCATATGTTGGGAAGAATCATCCCAACTGACTAATATTTTTCAGAGGGGTTAAAACCACCAACCAGTATATATGTATATTATATGCATGTATATGTTTTTATGTGTATATATATATAATATTATATATAATTATATATATATATGTTTTTAAATAAATAAATATATATATATGAATAGCTGCTTTCTTTAGAGAGTTTGCAAATCTACATATTTTCATGCATTATGTTTCAGTTATATATGTATTTGTACATCCATATGTATCTTTACATGTTATATTAGAGTCGTACGTTGATTCCTGATGGGTCCATGACATGTCCAACAGCTTTTGATCCAAAGGCAATGGTTGAGCTCCCGGTGGGGCTCTGCCTGCTTTTGTCATCATGTAGTTTGTAGATACGCTATGTGCTCATCATGTGCAAATTTGTATCCATTGGTTTGACCCGAGGATGGAGATCTGGACCTGGCTCTCTTGCCACGTGCGTCTGAGCGTTTGGTGCGCTTTGGAGACCGCGCCCGCTTCTTCCGCCACGAGGCGGATGACCGTGTCAGTGAGGTGTCGGTACCCAATTCCTCCTGCAAGATGAACTTCAGCTTTCCCTTCAGTGCCACCGACTTTGATGGCGATGGCCGGCTGGATCTCGTGGGCGTCGACCATGATGAGTACGACCTCCGGCGAATCGTGGTGTGTCTCCAAACTGCGAATGGTTACGTGCTGCTGGAGAAGGAGAAGAACCCGTTCTACCGCGGTGCATGTACGTATGGGCCCAAGCACAACTTTTTGGACTGGGATTCGGACGGGGATGTGGACCAAATCTGCCTGGACGACCATGATCACTTGCAGTTTGTGGAGCAACTTCCCAACGGCAGCCTGAAGACCCACCTGCTGCCAGTGCCAGAGACACAGGATTATGTAGCAGCGGACTTTGATGGAGATGGAGATATTGACCTCTTGCTGGTCGTCGCAGGGATTGCAGGTTGGACATGATTTGATATGATTTGCAGATGCATTGTTTAGCTTTCACCGCCTAGGGGTGTAAAAGGTTGCAAACCACCTGACCTTGCAAGGTTGGAAGTACTATGAGAGAAGAGAAGATGGAAGTCTCGATGAATTGCTTGAGCGTGACAACCCCTTTCCCCGCTCCATGTGGAACTTGATATCGTCTTCACCCGATAGCCTAACCACTACGACTGAAATCTACGCAGCCTTGGATGATTGGAATGGGGATGGTTCTTTGGATCTAGTAGCCGTGGGTACCAAGACGGTGTCTGTTTAGCGGTTTGAATCACTTTTTTTATTTTCAACATTTTCAATCATATTTGATGATAAACTTGTTTCACTAACGATATTTTTTTGGATGTGTCGAAATGCCCAATCAGGTATCTTTGCTTTTGAACAAACCACTACAGACCTTTGTCGAATATGATGCAAGTGATTCTCCGTTTTCAGGGATCCATATGACGTCACCCTCCTTGGCAGAGTGGAACATGGTTGATGTTGATGGCGATGGAGATTTGGACTTTGTATTTATGCCCAAAGGGAAAAGCGGAGTGAGTGACTTAGTACCTGATGCACCAGCAGCATATCAGTACTTCGAACATTTGGAGAATGGAGAGTTGGCGAAGCGGGAGGGTGCTGCCAATCCACTGCTGGCTGCGCCATCTAGTGGAACCATGTATGGCGACAAGGAGAGGGTGATAAACGTGGAATTTTAAGGATGTGACACATCAGTTGGATGATTGTTGGTTCTTTCATGCCCGCACAGATTGGGTGATTTTTGAAATTGGAGTATGGGCCGCCCTGGAAGGAAGTTGGAGTTCCACGTTCGCAGCAAACGTTGTGGCTGGGCTTGTGATGCAGACATGTGGTAATCACTGGGCGAGAGTCTTTTCTTTATTCGCTATATATTGCATCATTACTTGCTAGTGACTAGTGAGTTGGAAACACGTTTTTTTTTCCACCAGGTTTTGCCTAGGTGTGCGTGTGGGGGTGCTAGTGTCTTGACTTTTCCCGCGACTGCTTTCATTGCGGATGTTATTGCCTACGGTTTGACAACCGAACCAACGTTGCGTTTTTGCCTAGTCCTTACATCATAGGGGGGTTCGGGAGAGATGTGGGGGGTAACGTTGGGGAGTGGATGGTTCAGCAGCTTCCATGCCACCTACTGGGATATGCACACACACGCAAGGATATGTTGTATCTGTATCTGTATCCGTATGTAAATCATTCTATATCTATATCTATATCTATATATCTAAATATATATATATTTATCTAGATCTATTTCACATCTCTATCATCTCTATCATCTCTATCATCTCTATCATCTCTATCATCTCTATCATCTCCATATCTTTATCATATCTATCATATCTATAATATCTATCATCTCAATCATCTCAATCATCTCAATCATCTCTATCTCTACCATCTCTGCCATCTCTACCATCTCTACTATCTCTACTATCTCTATCTCTCTATCTCTCTCTATCTCCCTCTCTCTCTCTCTATCCCTCTCTATCTCTCTCTATCTCCCTCTCTCTCTATCCCTCTCTATCTCTCTCTATCTCCCTCTCTCTCTATCCCTCTCTATCTCTCTCTATCGCTCTCTCTATCTATCTACCTACCTAACTATCTATCTGTCTGCCTGTCTATCTATCTATCTGTCTGTCTGTCTGTCTGTCTGTTTGTCTGTCTGTCTGTCTGTCTATCTGTCTATACACATCCGTATCCATGTACATATATATGCGCATATACATATACGTATACATACACATAGAATTACATGTACATATTATTATACATACACATATACTTACATATACATACATGTAAATATACATGTACATATCATATACACATATTGTAATTGGTGCAGCCCCTCTGCTGATCCACATCCAACAAACAGGAGACTTTCAAGTGAACCAATTCCCTGCACCTCAGCAGATCTCTGCATTCTTTCCAGCTGTCAGCACACAGAAGATCAGCCATGTTGTGGCCTGATGATTACTTCCAAGACGTCCGCTTCCAAGATCCGTGACCCTGTCACTGTATGAAACTAGACGACGGATGGCCCGAGAGCGTAGAGGAGCAAATTACTCAGTTGTTAGTATCAAGACAATGTAATGAGTACATTGAGCATATATTGTATGCAAAAGAAAAGAACATGTTGCAGATGGTC